AGACTATGTAGATGGTTCCTTTTTGGGAGATTACACAAGGGTCTATGACTACTGCCATGAACTGTTAAGAGCCAATCCAGGGTCAACAGTTAAGCTCAATGTTGAGCCTGTATAAGTAGGTGTTGAGGATGAAAGACCATATTTTAGAAGGCTTTACATATATTATGCTGCGTGTAAAGAAAGCTTTAAGTTGTGCAGGCATGTAATAGGTCTAGATGGGTGTTTTCTTAAGGGGTTGTGTGGAGGGCAGATACTAGCTGCCATTGGGAGGGATCCTAATGATCAGGTGCTTTCCATAGCATATGCAGTTGTGGAGAGTGAAAACAAGGATAACTGGACTTGGTTTTTAGAGCTGTTAATTGATGACCTTGGAGGCAAAGATGAATGCCTGACTTACACCTTCATCTAAGACCAACAAAGGCAAGTTTTTCATTTATTCTTATGGTTTTATGTGATTATGTTAAGTTATTTCTGTTATGCTATATTATAATGCTACATTGTATGTTATTGCAGGGTCTGCTACCTACTACGGATAAGCTATTACCAAGGGTAGAGCACAGGTTTTGTGTTAGGCACCTCTATAACAATTTTAGGAAAAATTTTCCTGGAAAGATGTTGAAGGACATAATATGGAAGGCTGCCAAGTCAACATACCCACAGGCATGGGAAAAAGAGATGAAGGGAATGAAGGCCATCAATGAAGAAGCATTTAAACATATGATGAAGACCCCACCAAGGTTTTGGAGTAGATCTTACTTTAGGACTGAAAACAAATGTGATGTTGTTCTCAACAACATGTCTGAGTCCTTTAATAGTGTCATTCTTGAAGCAAGGGCAAAATCTCTAATCACTATGTTAGAAGACACCAGAACATACATGATGGAGAGATGGGCAAATAACAGAATGAGATTTGGAACTTTGGATGAGAATGATATTTTGCCCAATATTAGAAACTTAATGTATTTTGTTTGTTTAATCATTTAGAAAGAAACTGCCCAATATTAGAAAGAAACTGCCCAATATTAGAAAGAAACTTAATGTATTTTGTTTGTTTAATCATTTAGGATGTCTGATGAACATATATTTAAAGTAAGGCACATAGAAAATCAAGCTGACAAGTTTGTTGTGAACCTGAAAGATCAGATATGTTCATGCAGAAGATTGGAACTCACAGGGCTCCCATGTGTTCATGCTCATTCTGCTATGAAGAGTAGGAATTTCAAAATTGATACTTACATTCCAGATTATTATAGGGTTTCAAGGTACAAGGCATTTTATAAGCATGTGATCTACCCTGTTAATGGAGCAAACTTGTGGGTTAAGACACCATACCCAGATGTGCAACCACCCAAGTTCAGGAAGATGCCCGGTAGACCTAAAAAGAGGAGGAACCTAGAACAAGGTGAAATTGATGGGTCTGCTCGCAAATTGATAAGAACAGGTTTTCTGGTGAAGTGTAGTAGGTGTAAGAAAGCAGGACATTACAAATCTACTTGTAAGGACACAACAACTTAACAACCTAGCCAACAATCAGCCCAACTCAATCATACTCCAATTCAGAATGCGCAACAACCTAGCCAACAATCAGCCCAACTCAATCATACTCCAACTCAGACTCCAACTTATACTGCTCAACAAACTAGCCAACACACTCTTACTTCAACAACTCATCCTACTCAACAATCTAGCCAAGCATCTCAGACTTCTAATGGAAAGGCTGCTAAGGGCAAGATACAAAAGCTGTCTGTAAGGAAGCCAACAAGACCTTTTGTGCCACCTGGGCCTACAACTAGGTTGAGTGCTACGAATAATGTTGTTGGCCCAGTAACAAGGAGGTCTACTCCAACAAAGAGGACCACGCCAAAGAAGAAACTCTAAATTGTGGAACATGTGTATTTAGTTACCTAGAACAAGTTTATGTATTCTACTGCTGTCGTTTTGGAACAAGTTTATTTATTCTATTGTTGTTGTCATGAACAAGTTAATGTGTTCTACTGCTGTTGTTTTGGAACAAGTATATTTTGTGTATTCTACTACTGTCATGAACAAGTTTATTTATTCTACTGTTGTTGTTGTTTTGGAACAAGTATATTTTGTGTATTCTGCTGTTGTTTTGGAACAAGTATATTTTGTGGAAAGTATTACAGGTTTATGTATCCTGCTGCTGTTGTTGTTTACAGGTACTATGAAATGAACCTAAAAGCAGAACCAACTTATATGTATCATGCTGCTGTTGTTGTAAACATAAAAAACATAACATACCAAATATATCATTGACAAGCCAAATTAACATAATCTTTAACTGTTGGTTATACTTTGACAGACCAAATTAAAAATACTTTGACATGATAGAATCCAAAACTGTTATATTCATGTGGATTATGCTTTGACAGACCAAATTAAAAACACTTTGACATGATAGAATCCAAAACTATTATATTCATGTGGATTATGCTTTGACAGACCAAATTAAAACACTTTAACTGTTGCATATCAAGTTAACATTATATTTAACTGTTATATTCATGTGGAACTAATACAATGCAAAACTAAAACTAATTCATTCATGTTGAACTGCAAAAACTGAAATTAACTAAACTGATAGAATCCATATATTAAAATCCAACTATTACATTCATGTTGAAGTGATACAATCCAAAACTGATACAAACTTTAACTAAACATAAAAACATAATTCTTACAACCAAAACTTAACTTAACTCTTACAAACAAACCATAACATAATACTTCCAAACAAACCTTAATACCCTAACTACCCCTAACAACTAATACAATGATAATCATCACAAACATCAAATTCAAAATATTTTTCCACTTCATGATATTCTTCATTTCACTTTCAAGTTTCATCAGCTTTTTCCATAATTCTTCATTCTCCATTGTCGCTTTTTCAATGTCCTTTTTTGCTTCAGCAAGTCCCTTAGTTACCACACCCAGCCTATGCATCCAAAATTGCTCCTTCTCATCACCCATCTCCTCATAAAATCAATCAAAGAAGCCACAACCAGCTTGCATACCTCCCTGTAAGTTTCATTGTTTAGAGGATGATGGATAATGAATTTAAAATTAAACAAAAATATAACTTATAATTTGGACAGAAACATAACATAATCAAAAACAGGACTTCAACAGAGAACAAAACCAGCTTGCATATCTTATAATTTGGACAACCCCGAAAAAGCTGTCCCATATTCTTAACAGTAGTTGCCCTTTGAAGAACAACCATGTCTCCACAATGGCACATGGGCTTCCATCGTGACCGACTACAAACATCCAAATCTCGACTTTTCGATTTCGAAATGGAGGAGGAACATCCGGATTTCATGCTTGCCAAATAAAAAAACCCTAGATTAAGTTAGGGATTTGGGATTCAGATTATTTTTTAGGGATTTGAACGGAAGAAGGAAGAAGAAGGAGGAAACATCATGAACAAAATTAGGGATTTCATGCTTGCCAGGTCATCTGCCAGATATGCAAAATAAACAGACGTTTGGGGGCAACTGACGATGCGGACTAAAATGACACAATTTTAAAAGTTAAAGGACCAATTTGCCACTTTTTAAAGATAAAGGACCAACATGGACCCCGAGTTAAAGTTAAGGGACGAAAAAGGGTATTTTGCCTATATTTTTTAAGAAATATCATGACACGTCTCTTTGTAGATAGGGATGACAACGAGGCGGGGCGGGGGCGGGTTTAACTATACCCGCACCCGCTTCCACGTAACACACCCGTCCCTGCCCCCAAACCCAATTGAGGGTAAAAATTTACCGCCCAGACCCGCCCCCAGTGGAGAACGGGTGCACCTGCCCCGCGCCCCACCCGCAAAAAAATTATTTTTTTTAATTGCAATAAAAATTAATAATTTAATTATAAAATTAATTATTTTAATAAATTAATTAATTATTTGATTAAAAATTTAATTAGTAAATAAATATTAACTTAATTAATTTAATTATTTTAATTGCAATAAAGGTATTACTAATTTAATTAAAAATAAGATAATTAAACTAAAATGTATTATACGGGGTGGAGCGGGGACGGGTGCGGGCGGATCTTAGTGTCTCCCTGCACCCACTCCCGTAGTTAAGAATCAGGTTTCTCCTGCACCCGCACCCAATTAAATCGAATTTTTCTCGTTAGTTTTGGGACGGGCCCGGACAGATGCATGCGGGTCCGAGTTTGTTTGACATCTCTATTTGTAGACTATCACTCTAAGGATAATAAACTCCACGTGTTGAAAGTAAAAAAACTATTAAAATTCATCACATTTTAAAAAAAAAAAAGTGAAAAAATATAAAGCCAATCAAAATCAAGGCAAACTCCAAAGTTAACCCCCTTAGTAAAATCAATTTCAAGAGCATTAAGTTTAACACTCCCATTAAAAAAATAAGTTGGATTGAAAACCATGCCCTGATTACGTCGATCCTAATTTAGGAAATTGTTTCGAATGGGGTCGACACTTACTCTACGAAGGCCCAAAGGTCCAACAAAGGAGTAACCCAAACAACAAAAAGCCAAAATGCTTTGTAAAGCAAACCTAGTTGTTGGATTATAGTGAAAGAAAATCTAAAAGCAAAATTTATCCCGAAAAAGTTCTAGTTACACCCTATTCTAGTCTAAAATACCTCTTACTTTCGATTATTATTGACTTGAAAATTTAACATGAGAATATGTAAACCATTAACATAATTTGCCATAGAAACTTGATTTACTTGTTCATTTATGAACCATATAGCTCTTTCCCATACCACATATTAAAATAAATATTGATTTGATTTAGCTGTGCTGATTAGCCGGATTGATCTACCCATAAACATATCGAATGAAATTAATTTAGTAAGCACTATTTAAATTCATTTTCAAATATTAAACTCACTTTGAATGCCGTCGTTTACTGCGTGTTATCTCCCGGAACGACAAAACAAACACACGTTTCTCTCACCGAATAACCTGATCGCCCTCAACCTCAAGCAACCATGGAACACGGCGCTGCAACGGCGCCACTACCAGAAGCTTTTCTCCACTTCTTACAATCCAATGGAATCGACCCATCCATTTACACTTCAATTGATTCCACTCCACGATACATTCGGTAAATTCCACTTTCCACTCCTCACTCCTTCATCTTCTTAATACTGTTTTTTATTTGATTTTATTTATTTTATGAATTGGGGGTAAAAGGTTGAAACCAGGTTTTGAAGATTGTATTGAAGATGTTGAATCAGAAATTAAATGTAAACCCGAAAAATTGGAATGGTTGCTAGGGTTTTACACTCTTCCACCTCATATTCAAATTGCTAGCACTAAGGCATACCAAGAAGGAAAGGTAAGTGAGTTTCTTTGCATTGGAATTTGAATTCTTTTTATGCTTAGATATTTTGCATTATTTTTTTATGTTATTGATTATGGTTTTGATTGTGTTGTATTAGATATATGGTATTGATGCATCTTCTGGAGCTGCTGTTATGGCTTTAGGTATATCACCGGGGGATCATGTGTTGGACCTATGTGCTGCTCCTGGTAGATATTTCTTTGCTCAATCATGTTTATACTTTATAGTATCTGTCCTCTAAGAAGCTCGGATACATAGCACGGAGATGATAGTATGATTCAAATACATGGATTCTAGTAATTTTAAGAAATTAAGATTCGATATGGCCAAGATAGGTTCACATTGTTAATTGCTTTATAAGTACATGAACATATCATTAGTTAACATATGATGATCACAATCTACAATAAGGTATTTGTGATTATAACAAGTTGGGATAGGTTGTATTTCTTTTCAAGTTTGCGACCTTTTCAATTTCACTACATGTTGTTAACATGATGCTTCTAGTAGTACTTTCAAAATGGCTGCATGTTCAAAGTCCAACTGGTCACGGTTCCAAACATATTTATAGTTACCTCACCTATATAAACGTTATTCTTTCAACTATGAATGTGATGTGACACAAAATAAGTAAAATTTTGTGTTTATAGTTAATATGATGTAACCAAGATATACATATTGCCATTGGTCAAAAAAAAAAAAAGATATACATATTGCCAATACGCCTCATATCTAGACAACATGTGTCTATAGTTGGGAGGAAGTATCGAGGTTGTATCTGAGAAGTATTGGTGGAAATTTATTTAAAGTGAATTAATAAAATTATTGGATTACTTTTTGGGTACTTACCGGGAAGTATCACAGGCATTAGTCTCCAATCTGTGTTGGACACCGATACTTTGACATATTTGAAGTATACATGCTTCATAGTCTGTCCTCTTATTGTTTATAATAATGTTATAAAAATTGTTTTTGAGATTAAGACTTGATTTATTTCAAGGTAAGACTTTTAAGTTTTAATTCTAAATAAGAACATTTTTTTGGAGATGCTTTTAGTTCAATAAGCAACTTTCTATATAATTATTTCAATTTGCTAAACAAAGCACATGATTATAATGATTTTCTTTCAAATGTGATGTTTAGGTGCTAAACTTTGTATGATACTAGACCTTCTTGGTGATTCGGGCTCTGTAACTGGAGTTGATGCTGCAAGGCATCGGTTGGCAGCGTGTAGAACAATGCTGCAGAAGTATAAACTGGGTGATAGATGCCGGCTTTTTGTTGCTGATGGAACAACATTTTCAGTTATTCCTGAGGGGTTTCGTTCTGATTCTGAATCATGTTAGTGATGTTTAAGCTGTGGCATTGATATTTTATGGTCAATTTTGGAATGTGATGTTGAAATTTTAATATCATGCTTATTCATTAATCATTGTTTCCCAATTTTGAAATGTTTTCATTCTATCAAGTATTAAACAGGTGAGTCTAGATCGGAAGAAAGAATGGACGTGTTCAAGGAGTGGACATCTAGAAGACCATGGAAAGAAAGGAAAAAAGCAAAAAAGTGTGGCACTCCACAAGTGGTGTCTAAGTCTCACCCTCCTGAACTCATATATTATGGACGGCATTCTGGAGTTATTGGTCTTACTAAAGGAGACTTATATAAGACCGTATCCGAAAATGAGATTGCAGGCTATGGCTATGACAAAGTAACTACTACTTTACTTTGAATTCATTTTACATGGTTCTTCACTGTCATTTACCCTTAAAAATTATTATTTGTTGGGATTTGATTCAGGTCCTTGTGGATGCAGAATGCACTCATGATGGTTCAGTTAAACATATTCAGAAGTTTGAACATTGGGGCTGGGTAACTCTTCAACGTCGTGTGCTGGATGCTGAGAGGACGGATAATTTACATGTTCTTCAGGCAAAGACTTGTTATTCTCTTGATCTATAATTTACATGCATGCCTTTAGTCTTAAATAGCATTTTGTTTTTAACCCACACATATACCTTTTGTATGTCACTACAGCTGAATCTTCTCACCAACGGTTTCAGACTACTAAAAGTTGGAGGATCACTCGTCTATAGCACTTGCAGGTGCCTTTTATTCTGTAGCTTCTTGCCCTTTTACAAGCAATCAAAATACATGCACACAAAGACACCACAATTTATATCACACGATTTTATTCTAACAAATGCCTTGTTCATTAGTTTAACTGTTGCACAAAATGAAGATGTGGTAGAACAGTTCTTGAAGGAAAATATAACTGCCGGTAGGATTTTCATGCTTCATTTTCTTTCCTGTTGAAATATGTCTGAAGCTTCACCTATTTCCAATAGTCTGTGTTTAATATTTTTTTGTTTGAGTTAAATATATTTGGAGTCTCTATGTAATTATGATCTTTCAACTTTAGTTTATGCAATTTTTTTTCATTTTTGGTCCATGTGTGTATCAAAACTGTGTTTTTTGTCCTCTATGGGAAACAAAAGCATACAGTTTTGTATTTTTTAGAGACTGAAAATGGACAAGTTTTATGAGAATTAAGATTGAACAGTCCTGCTTTTTATGGGCTAAAAGTTTATTTAATTGTCTTTTTTATTCATATCATTAATATGACTAGCAGGTTCAGTGTGCTTGTTTTGTTGTCAAATGGTATTATGTTTTTTCTTGTAGAAATCCTCACTTGGATTCCTAATGCTTCTATCCTCGAACCTTGTTTTTAACCCAACCCTCTTCTTTTTTGGAGGGGGGAATGTTGGATTGTGACCTGCTAATATTGTTTAGCTTGCATAATCAGTTTAATTCCCTATTTTTAGGAATATTCATATTGAACTCTATGATCATGTCTGAAGTTTTGCCTTGTTTTTGCATAGTTTAATGCCTCAATCCTCTAATGTTTTTGCAACACTTGTATCAATCTACAGAGTTGACAGAGATAGATGCTGCCAGAAAATGGCCTTGCAAGGGTGGCCGCATACAAAAAACATGGCGGTTTGACCCATTAACATCACAAACTAGTGGACTCTTTGTGGCAAAATTTAGAAAATTAGCCCTTTGATATTCTTGGGTGCCTTTAATATGGACTTCAAAAGGGTCCAAAGCTGAACCGGGCATTTTTTTTTAGTAAAACTGTGGAATCTATAAATAAATTAAAAGAGGAAGATCTATGATATTTTACTAAAAATAGTAAGAGTACAGTTTTGGACTGCTTTTTTAATCTATATTAGATACAATTAATTTTAGATACTATTATTATTATTATTATTATTATTATTATTATTATTATTAGCGTCTAGACGGACACTTGCATCCGTTATTTTATTGCACACATGTATAAAAATAAATGATATTTTTTTATTTAATGTTAATTTTAAATAAAAGTTAGGTAGAAAGTTATTAGTAAGAAATTATATGAAAGATGATAGAAGTAGTTCAATAAAAGTTATTGTATAAATTATAAATTTTAAAATAAGGGTAAAATTGATAGAAAATTTGGCTATACTAAAAATTAAGTTGTCTTTCTATGTGTTATAGAAGATTAAAGACTATTATTATTATTATCATCATCGTTGTGCTCGTCATCTGAAAAATTCTGGTTTAAAGGCTAGGAATTGTTTTCTTTTTTTGGTATTAAGGTGTTGTGATAGGATTTGTTCCTTTGCATATAACTTTTCCACTTATTAGATCTATTGGTGCAATGAGTGCAACCACTGGTGGTTAAGACCTATAATGTCTATATGAATGAAATATTGAAATTATAAGAAAAGTGATGTATATTTAATGTCTTTAGTTTTTGGGTGAAGATATGATATTTTTCTTAGAAGTGTTTATGTTTACGGGTAAATCTGCAAATTTACTCATTTAATTCAATCCAATTTTTATTTTTATTCAATTTAATTATTTGTTGGTCTAACTCGATTCAACTTATTCAAACTCATTTGTATTTGGTTTGGGTAATGGTTTAAAGTTTTAATTTTACGAACCCGTGAGTGCAATCCATTGATATGTCACACTATTTTTATTTTATTTTATTTATAAATTATAGAGCATCATTCTTATAATATATATATATATATATATATATATATATATATATATATATATATATATATATATATATATATATATATATATATATATATATATATATAGTTTTTATTAATTATAGTTTAATTATAGTTTAAGTCTAAATCAAATTTGAGAGATTAATTTTATTTATTCAAAGAGAGATTTTACCTTTTAAATTATATTTTACATCATTCATATATTTTTTTAACTTTATAGAAATTGTAAAAGAGTTTTTAGGTATTAACCAATAAATTTTATATAAATTAAATACTAAAATTTATGATTTTTTAATGTTTTTATAATATAAATGTGTAAATTAAATTTATATATTTTATTTAGAATTTGAAAATTATATTTAGTGGAGTACAAATTCAATCTAATCCAATTCATTGATGAGTGATTTGGGGTTTGGTTTTAAAACTACTGAGTTGAATATTCATTTTAATTAAAAAAATATTGATTGGATCCGATATTAAATTTAATCAAATTAGATTCAATTCAACTTGCAAATACCCCTGATCTCTTTTATGGTCTTTGGATCATTAATTGTGGTCTTGATCATTAATTTTGTTGTTGCTCTTTGCCCCCGGACTCCACTACATGTTCATCATTCATATAATATTTCAAGTGCAGTAAGGGGTTAATAATTTCTAATCGAATCAGATATATAAGAACAATTTTAGTGCAGGATTGTTAAACCAAAATTTTGTTAGTTTGCGTTAGTAATAAATAATTTGCATTATAATAGGGCTGACATGACATCTAAGTGAACTAAAATTTAGTTCTCATTATCTATTAAGTAATGACATGATATTTGAAAATAGTGGGATCAAGTTTTGGTTTCTTATAGACAACCATCATTAAAGTAAAAACTACTCAAATCAACTATAAATTTTTTAAATCCTACAAAACACTTTGAGTCCACAAAAAATATTTTAATTTACTCATTTAGTTTACTCCCATTAAAGATGCCCTAAGTAGTCTACGTGATGCTCTCAAGTGCATAATAGATTAGTTGAATTAGTTGAACCATCTCATCTATTAGATTTTAAGAGTTTGATTGATTTAAATGAAGGAAGGAGAATTGATTAGGATAATTTTTTAATGATTGATAACGATTTTTTTCCCCAAACCTTCCATATTTGATACAAATAATTTATTTGAAATATCTAATAGATTATACTTGCCATCTAATCGGCTAGGTTATTTAATTAATTAGTCAATAGATTATTTTCTTTGAGTCAATTTTCTTTTCGTTTTAAAGGAAGTGTTTTCTCACTTCATTTTATTTTAAAATTTGAGTTTTTTTTATTTATTTAATTTTTCATAAATTATCTCTCTTTTCTCTTTAAATAGTTTTTTCTTCATTAAAATTGTCTTAGTGTCTTATGAGTGAAAAATTATTCATAAGAAAAAAGTTATATTTATTGTTGTTACTTTAAAGAGTGTCATACTTTGAAGAATTGAGTTTATTCTTGAAATTAACAATTTTGAAATTTTCTGTATAATTTAAGTTTGGTTATTAAGATCAACCTATAAATTTTTTACTCTGTTCGTGAGTCCATTCTATGAAAAATCTCTCTTTTGATTGAGGAATAATCTAGTAGTGTAAAATCTCTTGATTCGTTATTTGTATCAAAATTCGTGGGCATAATTTAGAAAAGTTTAATATTAAATTAACATTTGACCGAATTTAAATATGTCTTTGATGTTATCTCTCTAACTCTTATCGTTTAAATTTTAATCATTTACTTTACTATTTTACTCTCAATTGCTTTTCTTCGTGATCTTGAAAATACAACATAATTTATTTCTTAAGTAATACAAACTCTAAATTAATGTCAATTTTAAATACTATAGTTCATTCCTGTATAGAATTAAACATGCAATCCCTTACATTGTAAAGTAAAAATGATTTTCTTATTTGAGATTATTGAAATATGAGTAATTGAACAACTTAAACGAAAAAATGCTAGCAGCTCTAGACAAATATTATTTGACAAAAAGAAATGTTATAGTAGGTTGTATGATAAGAAGGTAAAAATTGAAGAGTTTTGAATAGAAGATTTAGTGTGCAAACTAATGGGTTTCAAAGGATGTTTGGGAGAAGCAGTGGCATAGCGCATTAACTTTTTAGGGGTATTAATTTTTTTTACCATATATATTCATTTTCTATATTTTTTTATATTTTTATTTAATATTGAAAGACTTAAGTCATTTTTTGATGAGAACTCAAAATTGTCTTACATAAATTTTAAAACTTATTTAAAACAACAATTCTTATAATCTTGATGGTAAAATTTTATATGAAGAATTAAAAGTCATCAAAGTGATTTTAATAGTTGAATCAAAATATAATTTTTATGATATTAAGTTCACTTAATATATTCAATTGTTTTTCTAATACATGCATAACTAATAAAATAATATTAATCATTCATGTTATTGTTGCATCGGCTAAAAGGAATTTTTCAAAATTAAAATTGCTATAATCTATTTGCGATCGACAATGTCGCATATTATATTAAATAGTCTTTCTTTGATTTTAACGTAATATGATTTTTTTAAAGAATCTTGATTTTGATCATGTTATTGGTGATTTTGCAGCAAAAAATACTAGAAGGGTAATATTCAAAGATTAATAGTCGGAGGGTGCAGCTAGTGTGAGAATTGAAATGCTACTGATATATGTTCGGATTAATAGATACATTATAATTATTTTTGTCATAAATTTATTATAATTTTGATTTGATATAAACTTTTCAATATTAATGTAATTTTTATTTTTTATTTTTTTACAATTATATATTTATAATTGTATAACTTATAAATTTAGTAAAAAAAATTAAGAACTAAAAAAGAAACACCCAAATTCATATTTTCGACATAACATTGAAAATCTCGGAACGACCCTGTGGTAAACAATTTAGCAATGAATACTAAATTTCAAATCATTAGAAAATAATTTTCAAATTGAAAAAGACCTTTTCGTTATTGAGAAAATATTTTGAATAATGTTTATTTATTTTGAGTCGTAGGATCGAATAACCATATTTTTAAAATATTTGAAATATTTTAGACTACAAAATTTCATAAATTTATATTAATCAAATAATGGGAAAATACACTACAAAGCAGTTGGAAAAGATAAATATATTCCTACATTAAAAATAAACTTGAAAGTGTCCTCTTGTTTAAGTCCTCCCATACTTAAATCGAGTAAATCTTTGTAAGGTTATCGTAGTCAAATTATGAGAATTTCTTAAAGTCTCTATATATTTTTTAGGCACTATACGAAAATATTAAAATGTTTTTAATTTTTGAAGATGTATCTCCGGATGCACTCAATACATACTCAACGCAGACCATTCAGAGTTGTGCTCTATAAGTTAGGTATTTTTAATTCCATAGATGCATCTCCGGAATTTTTCAAGAAATATATTCATAATTGATCAACTCAGTGGAATTCCAGAGATGCATCTTCAAAAGTTTGGGTGAGATTTTGAAATATGTTCTCACCTTTGCATGTCAGATATTTTTGGAGATACATCTCCGAAATAATCTAATAAAGCAAGCAGCTGCATGATCACACGACCATTGTTGTATTTCTTTACAAACCCTCACAAAAAATTCTTCCATTCTCAATCCACATTTTCACTCGAAATCTTTAGTCTTGTGCTTCATCACACCAAAGAGAGCAAAAGAAGATAGAATTTCCGGTAAAGATCATTTATTTCAAGCGGCATTGCTAATATTAATCATGTTTTTTATCTGAAAGACAAGCGTTTTTTCAAGGATTGTATCTCCAGAACGAATATTAACTTACCCGAAAATGCATTTCTGGAACCACTTTGTGTTCATTTTCCAGTTCTGTTTTCAATATAGTGGCGCAGCCGCTTATTGTTAAGTATGGTGGATTGAATGTTCCATTGAAGATTGTTAACGATAATACAAGTGTATGTGGATGAAAAGAGCTTCCGCTTAAGGGGG